ATCGCACTTTCCATTTCAGGCGTCCTTTTTTAAATGCTGTGGTACATCTTATCTATAATGTCATTCTCATGTAAGAGTGAGACTAGGATCTACATTGTCTGTATGTATTTAAGCATCACGATTTTTTTAAAATTGAATCATCCAAATCAAATGAATGTATTATTCATTAAAAAAAGCACTGTATTGAACGATCTTCATCATAGGTGGAAAATCTCACGCGCAAGGCTCAACTTCAAGAGATAGAACTGGAAAGATCTGGTAAGCAGCTAAAGGAGGCAATAGCCATTGCTGGAGAAGAGACTGCCAAATGCAAAGCAGCAAAAGAAGTTATCAAGTCACTGACTGCTCAGGTAAGCTGCTTTAGTTTTTATGTCAAAAAGTTGCGCGCGCTTATGATGAAATACATGCCCGTCTTCGGAATAAGTTTCTCAGCGCAAATTGTTTCTGTTTTGAGTTAATGAAATGCGGCAACTCTTATAAATAAGAATGTGTTCCACTTAAAAATTTAAAGCTGGAATAGGAAAATAAAGCTTTCATCTACTGTAATAAATTATTACTGCTTAATTTTATTGAAGTCTTTCAAGTAAGATGGTCTAACAACATTTAGATAAATATACATATAGGTGTATGATTTTTATGCAGTCGTTTGATATAGACACAAATTAATTTCTGTCCAACAAAGTATGTGGTTGTCATTACTCAGAGTATTTCTCTGTGTTTGGTCTAGATGCGAGTGTGCATTTTCTTTTGTCATTGTGTTATCAGTTGTGCTAAAACACTTAATAATGCATACTTTTTCTTTTGTGTCTTTAGGTCATAAGTTTTTGTACATCTTGAATCACTATAATCTTATGGCATTTCTCGAATATGCATCTTGGAATTGTCTTTTTGTTATGTCAAGGTAATTGCATGTGATTTTGGTTCAACAATCGTATTCGATCAACAATCTACTTCATCCATTTCAAATAGAATGTCATTTATTTCTCTCCCAAAACTATTGGGATTTCTTTCGTACCAATGTCTAGCTTCATGAAATCCGAGTTCCAACATTTTTTGTATACCTGCAAAAGTTAAGTGGACCCAAATTTTATACGTGATAAAATTGCAATTCTACTTTTTCTATTGGCAGCTAACCTTTGAAGTTCACATGGAATATAGCTTGCGTGTAAAAGGATGAAGGCACTCAGCCTTTAAAACAACAGAAGGAAAAAAGAAAGTTTCTATATAATTTGCCGTTCATTTTTTTGGATTTGTTTTAACAGTTCAAGCTTATCATAATTTAGCTTGTTTTCCCTAGTGGTCAGGTTATGTGTGATTGTTCATCAGTATCCTTTTAGTGTAGTATTTTTGTTGCCCTTCTATTGAAGATAGAGATGATTTGTAAAGTTATTGAAAACATAATTTTCTGTTGACCTGCCTTTCATTAGCTTCTTTTGCTGATAATCTGTTTTGTCGTCTTTATCTTTCATAGCTGAAGGAGATGGCTGAGAGGTTACCAGTAGGTGCTTCCCGGAACATCAAATCTCCTACATCTTTTTCCTTGGCTTCCAATCTTACCGCCGGTGATATACCAAATGGCTGTATTGACCGAGTTCATAGTCAACTAACTTTCCAAGATGTGGAGTCAAATGTATCTAACAGCCAACTACTTTCTAACGGATCAAGCAATGCCAGTAATCGCAATGCTGTTCAAAACAGGCAAGGGTTTCCAGAACCAACCCCAAGAAATGGGGCCAGAACAAAAGAAGGCGATTCTCGTAATGAGAATGAATGGGTCGAACAAGATGAACCAGGTGTATATATTACACTTACCTCCCTACCAGGAGGTGTCAAAGATCTTAAACGTGTTCGCTTCAGGTACGTTAACTATGGCTTTAGGTCACCAAATTTGATGGAATTAATCCTCTGCATTATTCTTGTCAAAATAAATGATCTCCTGTAATTATTCATTATGTTATTTCTGCGGGTAATTACTTTTCAATTTCTCTGAGCACATTTCAAGGAATATGGTTTGAGCCTGGCTATGCTATCTCTCTGTTAAAGTGATCCATCTCTCTTTAGTAGAAATGAGAAAAATATCCTCATTAGGAATGGCTCCTGTCCATGGGACTGATTCCTAATTTTTCAAAAAAAAAAAGGATATTTTAGTTTGACGCAAAAGATCCTTCATGCATTTAGTTCTTTTGCATGTGGTTGTTGACTACATGCTTCTATGTTGGTTGTCTAAACTTCGTTTTACCATTTAGACATCATAAACGGAACGGCATGGTCGCTAAGGATTCATATCGAACCCAACTTCCTTGGTACAGAGGCGTAGTTGTTGTACATTGGATTCATCTCCAGTATAGATTTGTTACCCATGTAGGAATAAGCTTGAGATCTTAGAGAAGTTCTAGTTCTAGATGATCCCTAATTTTCCTTAAAATAGAAGTTATTTAGCATCAGAGTGATAGTAGTCTAACTAAAGTAGAATGCATACGATTCATATAGCCGACCATAGTTTAGGATTGAGGCATAGTTTGATTGATTGAGAATTCATTTCAGAATCCTACACAAAGAAAAATGTTTTGTTTGTTTGCTTAAAACAATTGGTGGGTTGATTACAGTGACATTCTGTGTGTGATGCTTTAACTTCCATATAGCCACTTTTCCATTGGAATCAAAAGACTAATATGTCCTAAAATGCAGCCGAAAACGATTTAGCGAGAAACAAGCTGAACAGTGGTGGGCAGAGAACCGCGCAAGAGTTTATGAGCAGTATAACGTCTGCATGGGGGACAAGTCAAGTGTTGGCAGTGTAAGCGAGGACTTACCACATTGAAACATGCTAATAAATTTGTAAGTGATTTTTTCTTTTCTTGACCTCTTCTTTTTCTTCTTCCCTGTCGGAAAATCTCTGCTTTACGGGGAAGATCATATTCATCGCTTAGTTTGGCTTCTCAAATTTGTGGGCTGGTATCAGGGGTTGTCATAAAAAAGAACTAGGAGTAGAGGTTTGCTTCTAAGTTTTCATTAGATTTTTCTTTATCTTCTTATGGCTTGACCTGTTATTTTTCCCCTCCATAATGGTGTTTGTGGGGAATTGAGGGTGAGAGATGTAAAGTTTTAACTGCTTGCTCTTATTGAGAGTAGCTTCCTTGTAAATTTCTCAAGTAAATGTATCTTCTGATTTCAAATCCCAACCCTCTTTCTACATTCCATTTTTGCTGCAAGTGACTCCCCTTATACAATTAGGGGTCCTTTGGTTGTTGGTTACAGGTAAGTTATTCATGTATTAGGAGAAACATAACTAATACTATGTTTTGTAACCCTTAGTTACTTTGTACAAAAGTCAGCATAACTAATGTTATGTTTGGTTGTTTTTTCCATCGGGGATATAAGTAATACATACATGGATAAGTTATACAATAAATATATGTATATTATTTATGCAAGGTGAAATGTGGAATAACTCATACATGGATTAAACAATCAAATGTCGAAAAAACCCTCATATTTATATTAAATTACGCATGTATAGTTAAAATTAAGTTAACATTTAACAAGAAATAATCTATACATTACAATCCATAAATTAAAAATTTATGCATTACTAATCCCTACATAACTAAAGCTTGATAATTAATCCTACATTACTAGTCCTGTATAAATCAAACTAGCAACCAAACGACCCCTACTTAGTACTTGTTTGTCTCTCTATCTCTCAACTAGTTGAAGCATGCTTAGTTTTTTGTATTTATTTTTATTAACCTCGGTGTCTGTGCTAACTTGCGCGCACACCTCGACTAATTCTACGAGATACCAATTTGTTCAGTATTTTTAAATGCAAAAGAACCAACCTCTTCTCGTTTGCAGCACACTTCTGTTAAGTGCATGGCTTCACCCATGAAGCGATAACCCCTAGCTTCTCCGCGCTGATGAAGCAACGATACGATGGCTTTTAATAATACTGGTTTTATGGCAATGATATTGTTCTTCCAAAAGTAATGATCTTTTCCTATTAATAAAACCTAGAGGTGACTATTTTATTAAGCAAACAAAGGGCAATCTTGAGGAGATTCAGACCAAGACCTCCATGAATGAAGATACAATTTGGGAGAAAGATAACATGCCTGCAAATTATGTTTCACATAAAGAGAGAAACTTACCACTCCATGCGGAGACATTTTCACTATAAAGAAGTTGCAATTCAAGACACAACTCGCAATTCGGATAACACTGTAGGGGTGGCAAACGGGCAGATCGGGTCGGATATGCGCGGGTCAAAAACGGGTAATGCAAAGAATGATAAAATATTTAACTCGACCCATATTTAATATAGATAAAAATGGGCTAACCGGCGGACAATATGGATATTCATATTATTCATGGTTTCTTGAATATGATTAGTTTTCAGATAATTCTTACTCTCCCAAACTTAAGCAATTCCCAATTTGAGTCTTTGAAAGTGTAAAAGTTAAATCCATTGGTTATCCATTTTTAAGTGGATAATATGAATTTTATCCATATTGATCCTTTTTTTTAAAAAATTCATTAATCAACCCTTTTTTTTAGTGGATAATATGAATGGATAAATATTTTTTAATCTATTTTGCCACCACTAGATCACAGTATCACGGATTCGAATTATCATGAGAGATTGCTATCAGTATAAATTATGTTTAGAAGTAACGTTGGCGCTTGACTTGAGTAGATGAATAACGCAAATATGAGCATAGTTAAAATGTGTAACGTTTAAGCTGCTCTCTTAACATATGTCAATAATCATTTAAAAGGAAACAAAACATTATGGCATTACTTTTTCAAGGTTTAGCCACGGCTTAGCTCAGGACCTCACTACTCGTCATAGACTTAACTTCTTACCAACCCACAAAGGGTTGTGAAGCTGGAACAAGTACGAAGTATGAATCTATATCTGTGCACCATTGCATACAAGGTTTTACCTATATCTGTGCACACAATGAAAATGTATCAAACTGCAAATCTGGAGTTACCATTCGAACGCGCTATAAAACTTTTTCCCTTCTCTTTCCTTGTTATCTTTTTGATGTTTATTGTTACATGATGGAAAAAGGGGAACGAGGTAACAGTAACACCATAGCCTACCAACTGAGCCATAAACTGCAGCTGAAATGTTAAAGAAAAGCTCAATTTTGAATCACCAATTTAAGCATCATAACTTAACTGAAATACACAAAAAAATAATATTGGAATTGCACAGGCACACTAGTCTGATAACGACTCGGATAATCAAAAAGTTTAACTGCAGCTAGCAAAAATATGCTTAGTAAGACTTTCCACAATGTATCAAGCTCCCAGCACCCAAGAAGAGACCAAAAATGGCTGCACTGCCCAAAGTTGTTTGTCCAATGTATCTGATTTTCATAAGGCCAGGCACCTGCAATTTCCATTAAAGTTAACTGATATCATTAGGCTAATACGTCGAAGCAAATTGCATTTAACATCAACACTTTTGAATCAGATTCTCCGCAATAACAAGTCTATAACTTTTTCCCAAAATGGCAATACGGGCCAAATCATGTGCACCTCGACAGTTCTACCGAGTACCTGTTACTTCCCACCAGCATACACACCAAATAATTCTCCCTCCAAAGCTTACGCGGATGGAAAGAAATCATTGTTTTTTCTCTATACTGTGACAGTAACTTTATGCTCGCTTCATACAGACCTCTCTCTCATTTACCAGAATGAGGCTTATGTCCAAATAGAAAGTTAAACTTGTAATTCAAACTGACTAATACATTGGTCAATGAAGATGAACTTTGGACAGAAAAGGGGAAGACAGCGAGAACTTTACATAAAACTTGACAGTTTTGCTGGAAAAGCAAAACAGAAGGCTCGATTGTCATAAAGAAAAAAGACTTGCATTAGAGAAACAACACTTCCAGTTATATCATAGTCCATCAACATCATGCACTGCACTGAAACTAGGAAAGCAATATACAATTCTTTGATAATTCTAACATTAGACTCTTACACCGAGTACAGCATGCCACAACTCTCTCCAAGGTAGAACTCCATTCTTTTCCAACTGGGAAGCACCCAACAACTAGGCCCTTTAAGTCACATTTCTTAGTCCAGCTTTAAACCCATCCCAACCCCACCCACCCACCCCCACCCCCCAAAAATGCAGCGATGCAAGTTTGTGCATAAAAAAGTAGTTAAATTTCTCAAAAATATCTATGGTAATCAGTCATCCAAAAATACATTTAAGACTTGATCTGGAAATCTGAGAACCGTTCAGAGAGTTGAGACCTTTACACTATAGATCAGTTACACTTTGTAATGTGTTTGCTAAACAACAAAGGCATTAATAGTAATTTGTTATCATCAGATCAAAGAGAGAGAATTTTACCCTGTATCTAATAGCCTCATAAGTCCCATAAACAGCACCTACAAAATGATACATGCATCAGATGCAATGTCAATATATTAAATACATTGCTAACATTCAAGCTAGACACTGATGTCGATCTCATTATTTTTCGGATAGAAATCATCAGAGTCAAATACTACTGATATCATTTCTAACAGAGACAAATGTGCTGAGAGTGAAGATATGACAAAGTAGTTAACAAAGAATCTGTCACAGATGGCATCACAAAGTCAAAATGGTTCTTCAGATATGCCCCAAAGAGGTCGGAACAGATTCCAAGTTCTAAAACCTCAAACCTTCCTATCACAGGATTACCAATCAGCCAAATTAAAGAGATTTTGGAAAATTATAGAGAACCAAATCAGCACTATCACTTATTAGCAACTGTATACTGTCTACAACTCAGCCAAGAAAGACAGAGCTGCCTAGGAGCTCGGAATTTGGATACACAGTATTTAGAGGGGCTTCAAAATACTCTAGTAGACTTGGCTATAACCATTGCATATGATCCATTGGATGTGTCAAAAAATTGAAATTACTTGTTAAAATGCCTCTATATAGCATAAACCCAGACCTCAGTTCACCAAGAACCCAGTTAATCTAGAATTAGAGCTGATCTTTCGCCTTTTTCAGCTAAATCTGAGTAACTTTCTTTTTGATAAGGTGAATTATAGCTAAATCTGAGCAACTGGAAGTTACTTGTTAAAGGGTCTCAACTATAACATTTACCCAGTGCACTAACAACCGAATACACTTAAAGGTGCCTAGCTACAGCATTTTCATTCATTCTTTGCCCATACAAAAAAGAAAGAGCTATGTCCAGCAGATAATAAATAGATTAAATAACCCATCAAGCATTTCTCATATGACAAGAACAAAATTTGAGGTATAAATAGAATCAACAAGTAAATTTAAAAAGAAAAAAAGAAATGGAAGTTATTTATTAAAGGGTCTGAATCTCTATTATAACACTTGCCCAGTTCACCAAAAAGTGAAAAAGATATGATCTTTACACATAAAGATGCCTAACTACGGTATTTTCATTCATTCTTTGCTCAAAAGAAAAGCAAGAAATAGATATATCCAACACATAACAAATCGAAGAAATAACCCATCAAACATATCTATCGGAAACAGTCGCTCTACCTTCGTAAGGCACGGATAAGGTCTTCGTACACTCCACCCTCCCCCGACCTACTTTGTGGGATTAAACTGGGTTTGTTGTTTTTTAAACCCATCAAACATTTGTCATATAATAAAGAACAAAACTTTAGAAATAAATAGAATCATCAAGTAAATTCAATTAAAAATTAACACTTACTGTTCACCGAAAACTGAAAAGATATGATCTTTACACTTAAAGGTGTTTATTAACTACAACTTTTTCATTAATTCTTTGCTCAAATAAAATAAAAGAAACAGATATATCTAACCACTGATAAACAGAAGAAATAACCCATCCAACAATTCTCATATAATAAGTACAATTCGAAGAATAAACAGATTCAACAAGTGTTAAAAAAAAAAAAAAAAGAGGGTAATAGGATTTTCAAAAAAAGAAGAATATTGAAAAGGGGTTTAGGGTTTATTACCAACAGCGCCACCAACTGCACCGCCTACAGCAACCCCAGCAGTTATTCTCGCTAGACAACTATCTTTTGCCATCTCTCTCTCTCACACACACACACAGTGACTTTGGTTCTACTTCTCAGAGGGGTTTTGAGAGTTTCGATAAATAGTTCCAATTGGTTATGATATGCAAGTTGTAACCTTATATTCTCAAATTACCCCCTAATTAAGTTTATTTGTTGGAAAACTTAAGTTAATTTATTTAAAGTGATACCACTTTTATAAATTTTGCTATATTAGAGTTACAACAAAAATAAAAGGCATTTAAATTGCTTGGTATAAGGAAACATGACAATCGTTTAATGATGGATATATTATTTATGTTTTTTTAATTTGACCTTTTCTCCGAGGAAAAGCTCCAAAATTTATTTTTGTAGTATCTGAAATTGCTTATTTTGTGTCACTTTTGATCCATTCATATTTTTGATGTAGCAAAATGTCTCGTATTTGTCCTTACCTCTAGCGTTATTATTTGAAAAAATATTTAAATTTACCTTCCCCACTTTTGATTATGTTTAAAGTTACTTTTAGATTTAATGTAAAAAGAGACTTTTGTACGACGCAATATTAGACCAAAAAATTAACGGATTGCAAAATTATTCAATTTCATATGAAAAATTTTAAATCTCTTTTCCCATATCTTTCTTAGTAGGGATTTTTTTTTTTTTTGGGAGGGAGGGGGGCATGCAAGAACGAATTCTATTAAAAATAGACAACTCACGTAGGGAAGCTCGAGGATCGCCCATTATAAAAGATAATCATATTTGGATGGTATGTATGTAATCTAATGTCTTGCCACATCAACTGAATCGATCATTAGTCACCTATCAATTCATAACGAGCTTGATATAGAGGGAATCCAGATAACCGCCATTTTGAGCAATACTGACAAACCATCTATTTTATTTTAATGCTAATAATAAATCATCATATTACGGTCTATTAGTGCCTAAATATTCTTTTTCTTCGTGATACCTTGGCCTTATTTTATGTAAATGACTGCTCTACATAACCAACTCGGAGGTATCAAATAGTGATTTTTGGTAGTTATAAAATAAGGGAGTTTTTTTTTACAAGTTGCTGAAAGGAGATACCGACCAACAACCATGCACAATAAATATCCTATTCAACACCATTTTATAATCAGTATAAACAAGAAATGAGATAGAGCATACTCACATATTGGATCGTGTCTATCCTTGCGGAGTTTAAATGACAAGCCTTGTCCAACTAAAAATCTATGCAATCTCTCTTATATGTATCATATTGAGTTTGCTCTTATTTTGGTTTCTTGTTGGCTTGTACTATAAAATATATGTTGTACCATGTTAGTAGATATCAATAAAGAGTAGTTTTCCAGTGTGCCATTCTAATGTGTTTCTAAATTTTACATGGTATCAAGAGCCAATGTCTTCCTGTTACTCTACCCCATCCACTTCTTTTTCTCAGTCCGAATAAGTTCCTTTAGCATCTTCAAATCCCCTCAATCATGCTCACCATTTTATATCCATCAAACTAACCTCCAAAAATTTATCTTTTTTGGAAAACACAATTGATGTCCTTTCTCTGTGGGCAAAACCTTCCATGCTTCATTGATGGATCTAACCCATGTCCTCCCTCTCATATCTCTGTTGAAGAATATTGAATCCTAGCTACATAAACTGGATACAACAAGACCAACTCATAATGAGTTCGTTAATCTCTTCTCTCTGGGAAGAAACTCTTCCAATTATTATTGGTTTGAACACCTCGAATGAAATATAGGACGCCCTTGAAGCTGCCTTGTCTTCCCCCTCAAACACTAGAGTCGTGAGCCTTTACATGCAGCTTCAGAATCTTAAGCAAGATGACCTTACAGTGTCACAATTTCTTCAAAAAGCGAAGCTTATCTCAGATGAACTTGTCATTGCGGGGAGGCTATTATCCTTGTCGGATATCGATATTTATTTCTTCAAAGGATTAAGACCCAACTTTAAAGAAATCGTCACAACTTTATCCGCTAAACATGAGCCAGTCTCCTACTCGGAGCTTCATAGCCTTCTCATTAATCGTAAATTTCTTTTAAATCAATACTTCATACCTTACTAAACCACTTTTCATCAGTTCAAAGATTTGCTCATGACAATAACGCATTTTTTGAATTTTATTCTGATCACTTTCTTGTTAAGGATCGGAATTCTAGGACTTCACTTCTTTTCGGACAGAGTAACAATGGACTTTACACTATGTCTATCAAGCCATCCAACCCAGTTTCACCATGTGCTAACTTGGCCACCAAAGTATCTCCTTCTTGTTGGCATCTATGGCTAGGACATCCTCATCAAAAAGTTCTACATCAAGTGTTGAATTCTTATAAGATCTCTAGTTCTAGTTTTCAATTAAGTAATTTATGTATTGCTTGTCAACTTGGCAAGTCACACAAGTTATCTCTTCCTCTTCAAATTGATAAAAACACTTCCATTCTACAAGTTATTTTTGCCGATGTTTGGGGTCCTTCCCCTTTTTTATCTTCTCAGGGACATCGTTTTCTATTGGTGTTAGTTGATGATTTCTGGTAATACATAGTGTTACTTTGTGTTTCGCAAATCATATGTGCTACCTATTTTTAATCAGTTTAGAGTATTGAACGTTAGTTTAATACTAGAATTAAATCAATTCAAATAAATTGGGGTGGTGAATTCCATTCTCTATTACCTATTTGTGCACAACTAGGCATTGTTCATAGAGTTTCTTGTCCTCACACACATGAATAATAAGGAAAAGTTGAACGCAAACATCGTCATATTATTGAAACTAGACCTAGTCTCGTGGCTCATAGTTCTACTCCCTCCAAGTTTTGGCATTACGCGTTCGACATTGCGGTCTATCTTATTACTAGACTTCCTACTCCTACTAATCGTGGAAAATCCCCATTTGAGCTAGTGTTCAAAGTACAGCCTTATTATCATTTTCTTAGAATATTTGGTTGTATCTGTTTCCCTTATCTTCGCCCTTACAATCGTCACAAAATGGACTTTAGAAGTCGACCTTATGTTTTCTTAGGCTATAGTCCTAGTCATCGTGGTTATAGGTGCTTTGATAAACTTTCTGGACGTCTATACATAGTTAGACATGTGTGGTTTGATGAGAAGCAATTTCCTTTCTCCAATGAGTCTATACTTGGTCCACCACCCTTAAAGCTCGTTCACTTCATCTCTTTGGGTTTCTTATCCAGTTGTCCTACCTATCTCTCACATTGGAAGAAAATCACTACCCAACCTAGGCACCTCTTTGAATAATTAGAGTATTGACTCCAATGTGGAGTCTTTATAGAATCCCTTAATGAATATAAAATCCAAAGACACCAAATCTTACCAGCAAGAATCACATATGGACTTTTCACAAGCCACGTTGCCATCTCTTAATCAAATTCCCACTTCTCATAATCCCTCATCCCTTGTAACTAATGACCCATATTCGCTTAAATCAGCCCCTTTGGTTGTTGACTTAACTAAATACCACATGACTAGTCAACCAACTAAACACGATCCCTTCTAATCCAGTAAGACACAAAACTAACCCAAAACACGTAAAACAAAGAACACAAAGGCACCCCAGCGTACTCACCATATGCATTTGCGTAAAATGCCACCTTCTATTAATCTGGCTTCTAGCTCTCTCTCTTTCTTCCACATAACCAACTTGTTCATAGAGGCTAACAAATTCAAGGAATGGCGAGATGCAATGTCTAGTGAAATGATAGACTTGTTCAAAAAACAAACTTGGTCGTTGGTCCCTATTAATTCCTACATGAATGTTTTAGGGTGTAAATGGGTTTTACGCATTAAAAGAAATTATGTTAGGGATATTGAATGCTATAAGGATCGTTTAGTTGCCAAGGGATATCATCAAGTTGAGGGGAATAGTACAATGAGACCTTTAGTCTAGTAGTAAAACCAACTACCATAAGGATTATATTGTCTCTAGATGTGACTAATAGTTGGCCATTACGCCAAATAGATGTTCAAAATGCGTTCCTACATGGCGAGCTTCAAGAGGAGGTGTATATGGCACAACCTCCAAGTTTTGTTCAAGCCCCAAGGGCCTGGTACACCAAACTACATCACTTTCTCCTCACGATTGGCTTCTCCACATCGAAAATGGATGTTTCCCTGTTTCATTTATAACTCTAACTATACTGTGGCATACTTGTTAGTGTATGTGGATGATATTATTATAATATGTAATAACATATCATTTATGGAGTCCATTATTAATCACCTTGGCATAACCTTTTCCATAAGAGATCTTGGTCCCCTTAATTACTTCCTTGTGTAACGACCTAATCTGTCGTTTTGAGCATTTGTATTCCAATCATTTATTTGAAGTCTTGAGCAGCATTGTATGATGTATTATGACTTGTTTGAATCGTCGGTTTTGATTTTCACATTATTCGGAATTGATTTGGAATAATGATTCTCAACTATAAAGCTTTAAGTTGAAACAGTTGACCAAGTTTGACTTTTTAGTACTTGTCCTCAAATTGGAGTTTGATGGTTGTTTTAGGTCCAGATGGTGATTTTGGACTCGAGCGTATGCCCAGATTTGCATTTGGATATTTCTAGAAGGTTTCGGCACTAATTCGCGAAAGTTGAAAATTTGAAGGTTTGGAATATTCATAAGTTTGACCGAGAGTTGACTTTGATGATATCGGATTCGGATTGTGATTCCAGGAATCGGAATAGCTTCGTATGTCATTTGCGACTTGTGTGCAAAATTTAGGTTCATTCCGGGTTGATTTGATATGTTTCGGCACGAGATCTGAAAGTTGAAAGTTCAAAAGTTTATTAAGTTTGAATTGAGGTGCGATTCGTTGTTTCGATGTCGTTATACGTGATTTGAGGCCTCGAGTAGGTCCATGTTATGTTATGGGACTTGTTGTTATATTTTGACGGGGTTCCGAGGGCTCGGGTGAGTTACGGACGTGGTTCGAATCATTTATCTCTTCTTGCATTGCTAAAGGAATTTTTGGTGCTGGTGCAGCTAGGGGTGGGCATTCGGTACTTCGGTTCGGTATTTAAAAATTTCAATTCGGTATTTGGTTTATCAATTGTGTATACCAAATACCGTACCAAAGTAGTTCGGTACGGTTCGGTATTTCTTA